ACTAAGAAGTAACAAGACTTTTCTTCTAATACAAACTTTGGAAGCTTTTGCTTTTCATTTAACCCACTGGCAATGAAAGTTAAATCATTTTTCCTGCAAGAAGACATAGTCACAAATGGGTATCAATTACACGGACTTCCTTCAAAAAGACCCACAAGATTTACTTTGTCTTACAAAGTCTAGAGCATGCCACTTCCAGACAGCTACCCAAAACAGAGCCCCAGACACACACACTCCAAGCTCACCCATGTCCTGCTCCCTTTCTCAGAACTAATCAGTCAAGGAAAGTAACAGCATCAGTCTCAACCCATTTTAATTTGATTGTTAAATTAACAGATACACCAGTCAATGTTTTTGTTCCTACTATCAAGCTCTCAACATTTTGTTTCCCTTAGGTCTTGCTGACCTTGGCACAGAATAGGAATTATACTTGTAGCTGGATGACTAGTTCTCAAACAGCTTCTCCTATACTACTAACACGCACCAATAAGTCCTTTATATGTATCTGTCTTTTTTGTTTACCGTAACTCTCCACTGCTACCAGAAAGACGGACCTCAATCGTTTTTGAGGCTTGGGAGAGATGCTGATGCCCTCTGGAAGAATGCAATGAGCATTCTGTTTTCACAACACAAACTTAAAACGTAAACACCCTTTTCAAAAGCTTTTGGGAAGCTTTGTAACAATGTATATTTCCTTACCCCACCCATCTTGCTTTAATGACCAAGAAAAACCGCATAGAAAAAAAAAACAAACAACAGAATATTCACCCTTTGCTTTTCAACCCTGTCCACTGCTTCCTCACTTAACTGTGGTCAATAATCATTCCTAATTTAACACTTTTGTTTTCAGGTTGGCCCACCTGTTGGTAAAGGTGCTTTAGGTGCTTTGTCAAGTGAATCCCATTTCTTGCTAGCAGTCCTCAATCCTCAGAGAGGATCCCCTGGTCTTAAAAAGCCAAATCCTGGGTCAGAGGTGATACTTTACAGATCTAGGAAGAACCTTTCTGAGAAAAATCCCACACTGAAGTACCTTCTCAACCTTCCACAATCATGACCACACAGAAAATTGCATTTTTAGTTTTTTTCCAAACACCTTCATAAGTTTTGTTCATAAGCTACAAAAGTATCACCACTTTGGATTACTCAGAGAAGATGACTTTGATTTTATACACAGCTGGTGATGACTTCATGCTATGAACAGACTGGAAGAACGGGGGGACACTGAACAGACAGAGGCTTCATTTTAATGCAAATATCCTCAGGAAGCTGCATAAAGGAAAGAAACAGCACATCGCATTTGTTGTGTATCACTTACAAAGAGGTCTCTACAGGGAATGCTTGTGACCAGGGAGAAAATAGGAGATTTCCTCTGTTGCTCCTAGAAGTCTAGATTACAAACTGTCCTCCCCACTTTAAAAAGAGTCTTGTTTCATTGACCAGTGAAGTTCCCTGCTAGCATTTTTAATAGGTTTTTTTTACATTCAGGAAAAAAAAATGCAAACACCCCAAATATATAGCAGTTTCTGGAGAATAACAATCAGGCACTTCACTCCCAGGTGCACTCCCTAAGAGTATTTTTTCCCTCCTCTCAGTCTGGGTGAGATTGGGATTTGATGTTTACAAATGGCAATACAACAGGCATCCACTGGAATGCTTTCCTAAACCCACCACATGTGGGACACTTTCCCCTTTCTGTCCACATGAATACAGCACCAGAGAAGATACTCCCTGGCATTAAGAAGAGAGACAGACATTCCAGTCCTTTTATTCACCAAAATAGGTGCTACACAACCACTTCAGGACAGCAGCGCCTACCCCACCAAAGAGCTATGTCTGACAGGTTTAAACACTGGAATCAGCAAATACTTAAGCGCTGACCTCTCAAACACTGCTTATTACGCATGCTCAGTCACAATGACGGTACTTTGAAGAAGGCAAACATAACTTAGAAGGACCCTACACAACCACAGCTGGTAACTCTGAGGTGCAAGTCTTGCTGTAGAAGTCAAGGAAAACCTAGTATGAAAGATGTAATGGACACAACACTGGCATTTTCTTGCATGCAAGGGTGTACAACGCTAACGACCTCCAGCTTCACTGATCACAAGCTCAACTCAATATGGCTAAGAGAGGCTACTGCTTCGGCTCTTAAGTGCTTTGTCTCTCAAGAACATGCAGTCTCTTCATGACCATGTGCTTCCCCAGTCCACCAATTTAACTACTAGGCTGCTTCTGAGACTTAAAAGCAAAATAAAACCCCTTGGCTTTGCTTAGCCAAGGAGACACTGAAAAGAATAATGAAGCTTTCAAGGGCCATGAGCTCAGGTCTTCAGCTCTCCAAGCTGGTAGATCACAAGACACAAGTTTTTAGGATTAACTCCTAAAAGATCTCTAGTATCCTTCTTCATCCATTCCAGGAACATGATCTTGCATGTGAAGAATACAGAGACCAGTCCAAACCAGCACAGCTTCTCAAGCCAGCCTGTGGCAGACCTGGGGGTCTCTCAAGACTCGACTCACTCAAAAGACCACACTGCTTTCTGTAGTGAACACAAGTATCGCAGTCTGTTGTTCAAGTAATAACAAGTATTTGAGGCCGAAAAAGCTGTTCACAAACGTAAACATGATTAAGCATGCAATACTCTTGAGCAGTCACCAGATGTCACCACATCGCAAGAGACTCGGAGGGAAAGTCTTAGCAGGCCAAGTGATAGAAATAGAAAAGGTTTCTATCATACATACACGGCTTCAGGTCGGAAGTAAGACAAACAAAAGCAACTCAGTGACCAAGACAACCTGCCATCAAACAACTTTACACATGCATGTTTAGGAGTTAAAGGACTGGGACTGGCCATCTAAGGCAGTGCCTTCCAACCTTTCTATCTCAGCCACATGACTGCTGCTATCTCTTCTTTCTCACCTCCTACCTCAAGCTCTGTATCCTTGCTCCTCAACCACCCATAAGGAACACCGCCTCTGGAAGCAATCACCAGTCCTGCTTCCCAGGACTTCCACAGCTCTTATGCAACGCAGGTTTGCTCACCACAGTTTGAGGCTGGGTGGAACTGAAACTCTTCGTCATTGCACTCTCACACATACAGAACAACCTCGGTGCCAGATGTTAATGCATCTTCTAAATTTGGTCTCTCAGATTAAAACTTCCTTATTTCTGTTGTGGATTTGGGTTCCAGCATTTACATTCCAAATTGCCACTGGCGAGATCCTGGTTCTGCCTTTTGTACAAGGAGGACTCAGGCAAAGCATGTTCTGCCCACAGGTAATGATCCAGCCTGCTGCTGACATGAACACTGCGCCAACATCAGCAATCATACAGTCCATTCTAAAATGGCTGTGAAAGTGTTAGGAATAAATCAAATACAGATTTCTACATCGCCCTCTGTAAAGTTCAAAAAAAAAAAAAAAAAGGTATAACACACACAGTCTCTTTCCTTGGTCAAGAGGGACAGCAGCACCAGCCCCAAAAACATTCATGTCTGCTCTTCTACTTAATGGCCTCCCCATCTTTCTGTCCCTTCTGCTGCAAACAGTAGTCAGTGCTGCGCACATCTAGACACCTATCCAGCAGTACCCAGTAAAATGCCAAATATTTGGCCCATTGGGTTATGATAGTGTCCACAATTTCTAGTCATGTTCCAGGGTCCTCATGCAGCAGACACGGACATACACACAATAAAAAAAAATTTAAAAAAAGGTTAGAGAGTTCCTATCCAAAAAGTGACATTGTGATGTTACATCACCTCTAGTGATGCCTGCAGGGCAAAGTGGCTACTTCACAGCAGCCAGGCATGAATCAGTGACACTCCGACCAGTCAGTAGCACCTAAACCTGCAGCTGTGCAAGACCACATCATTTCTTCCAGTAGCAGGGAAGACTGAACATCCCAGCTCCTTCCTCTCTTGTCACAGCAGGCCTACCAGGCAGGAGCAAGTGCTGCAGCCAATGCACGCATGCACAGTAGGCCTCGCATTTTCAAAAAAACACTGCCTCACTGAGTGTCCACAGCACATTCACACAAGCTTGCTGACCCACACTGTTCCAGGGAGAGGAACCCAGGAGCAGGCTGCCTTTACCAAATCAATTCGCGCAGGCTGCTCCAGACATCTTCCTTCCCAAGGGGCTTTCGGAGACTAAAGATGCTGCACAGTCTCCAGAAAAAGAGACAGCTAGAAGCCAGGCCGCAAAACACACAAACAGTTTGTGGTAAACTGTTGGCTTGGCAACTCCGATTTAAATCTTCACTTCCCTTTGAACAGAATAAGAGGAACAAAGAATGGGTGCAAGGGAAGAAAGAAACTAAAAAACTGGGAGGAAAAGAAACAAAGAAAGAAGGGGAGAGAGGCACAGTGGGAATTTAAGAGGTTCACCGATATAAAGGGATGTTGTCAACACAGGGCTTAAGGACCCATGCAAGCCTCAGTCCAACCCCTACAGCCCACCTCCAAAACTAAGAACAAAATCTCTAGGTTGGAAACGCCAACATGAAATACTGATTTTTAAAGCAACTGAATCCATAGACATGTAGCCATGACTCCAAGAGAGTAACACACAGATGTTTTTAAGAGCCTAGAGCAAAACTGGAAACTGTGGTCCATTATGTATTAGAATAGCATCTAATATATATATAACATGGCATCTCTCATCAACCAATGGTACAGGGCGAGCTCACATGCTTGGAGCTGTACTATCATCACAGCAGATGGTTCCACTGCAGAGAACGTTACTAGCACACTTCTAAACCCCCCCCGCCCACCCCCC